TGAGCTTGCTAGCATTGCGAAGCTGACGAAGTAGAATATCTCTCAGTGTAGTCTCCTCGGGTTGGTGATTCAACCCCGCGATGACCGACTGCCAATTGTGAATGAAAGTGCTAAGGTCATCACCATTCAACTGCACCTTGAGTAGATCTTCTACAGAGTAGAGGGAGCCTGCTTCCTCGTTGGTCTTAAAGTAGTGTTCGAACATCAGTAGAACTTGTCTACCACGAACGGCCCTACCAGCAGCTGCCTCAGACTCCTTGTAGTTAATGATCTGTCGTCCAAGATCACCCCTAGCAACCCTCGAAAGCGCCGAAAGGATCTTCGTATCCAAAGTGAGGAATTTACCCGTGTCCCTCAACTTCTCCGGATCGGCGTCCCTGGAGTAAACCTCTTGAACCCATTTGAATGCCTCATCGGGTCTGTCCGATGCTGCCCGAACGGCCTCCCTAACTGTGATCTTCCAGCTCCTGTAAGTCTCCGGGTTAGGGAAGTCAGGTAGCTTCACCGTTTCAGCTTCCTTAGCCTTGGGTTTGTCATCGTCAGGCTTCTGGATAACCGACTTGAGTGCTTCAGCGAGAAGTACGCTAGGTTCTTTGTTTTCAGTAGATTCTGCCGGTTCTTTGTTATCACTCTGTTCAGCAGCAGATACCGCTACATTGTGGGCCTTGGAATCCTCAGGCTCACCAATGTCATACCGTTGGGTCCTTCCCAAAACCGTCCGAAGCGACACAGGAATCTCCCTGGGGTTCGGAAGGGTCGGAATCCATGAATGGCTAGGACCCTGAACAAGCGGCGCTGCGGCACCACCTTGCGGTGGGCTTGGTTGAAGCTTGGAGCTCTCACTGGGATCGACTTTCACCGGCACGGCACCACCTTGCGGTGGGCTACTCTCCGCTGTCGACAAGACAGTCCTGAGTGAGTCGACCTCAGCTATAAGCTCCGCGTTCCTGTCCTGCAGGTCATCAACCAAGCTATCGTACTGCTGTGCCTCAGAGGTTAGCCTATGGTAGTACTCGTTTTCTTCCCATTGAAGCTTTTCCTCAAACTCAGACCCTAAAAAGGCAATCATCTCACTGTGGTTTTCTTCGATACTCGAGCGCAATTCCGCGAAACGGCGTTCATGCTGTTTGTTTTCCGCAGTGAGCATGCGCGCTGCTGCTTCCAGCTCGGACCGATGTGCATCAAACTGCATGGCCATAGACCTTTCATCATGACTTTCCCTTTGTGCGCGTGCCAGCTGTGCCTGCAGCTCATTGGCTGATTGTCGTTCTGCTCGGGCGATTGTCCCTAGCACTCGTACTTCATTGTGTAGCTGTCCCACCAACAGGTGTGTGGATTGGCTCACAAATGCTAGCTGTTGACGATGATTCGCATCCGCTGTTGCCTCTAGGTGTGCAATGTATGCGTTGGCTTCGGCGTACACGTTGTCCAATGCAAATCGATGTCGTTGTTCCGCGCGAAGCTCCAAGGCACTTTGAATGCGAGGGTCATTCAGGAACAAGTTCACCTGAGTATTCTCCTGCAACAAATGCAAGAAGTACTGGTTCGCTTCCTGCTCCGTTCTACCACCAATACCACCGTCATTGTTGTTGCCCGCGGCCGTTGCAAACGGCACGATGTCCATTACGGAGCTAACTACGGCTGATAACCTGAAGTTTCCCAGGCTACCAGCTTGGCACGTCTAGTTACCGGTCAGTCAACCCTTGTGACCTTTTTCCACGGGGGACTTGGGCCAAGTGCAATCGCGTAAAGACATAGCTAAGGACCATAGGAATAGCAATGGAGGCAGGGTAAAATCTACACTTATAGTGCCCCTATAGTACCCATTTAAAGAAGCCCTTAGAAAGAAGCTGACTTTAGGGTTTAAGTTTAAGGTTTAGGATTGAGTTCAGGGAGGGTTCAGGGGTTTGTGGTAAATTCTGGTAACCTAACCTGGCACGAAAATTAGCCGAAATGGGATATGCGAAGAAGTCGTCGCCGTGATGCAGACACTGAGTGCGTACGAAGCACGCACGTGTGTCTAGCATGTGTGTGTGTATATATATATATATATACATATATATATACAAGTACATACACACATACACATACGCACATAAATAAAACAGATACTCATGTGTATATAAACACACATATTTGATATACACATAGGTATCTGTAGACCTATCTACTACATGTATCAGTGTATACATACTATATGTATAAATATATACATATATATATACAGAAAACACATACATATGTTTGTAACGAATTCGATCAAACCCCAAACCCAAAATTCAAAGTGCAGCCTGGATTCGGGAAATACCTCACTGCAAAGCTCTCCTCGGCGGAATACACAGGGAAGTCACTGCTGGCCTTCGAGACACTGGTCTCCATGTCCTCGCCGTTCATCCTCACCTTGCATGCCCAATCATAGTGCAACATGGCCCATCTTCGATGATGCAATCAGCTAGTGAAAGTAAGCGTAGCAGGGCCTCGTCAGCCTCGTCAATCGGATCCATTGCCGCACAGCCCCGCGAATCATTCGAGCGTGGCTCATGCTTGGCGTAATTATGTAGCATAGCATATGTACAAGTCACACACTCCTGGTGCGCATTTGCATTTTCGGGCTAGCCGGGGCAACCCGCTGTCCTGGCTAAATGCTGGCCTATGTTGCGATTTTCGCAAGAAGCAGAAATCTCGTTGTAATTCTAAACATTCTGGACAAAGGACCTTCAGGGGTAGGCGGGAAGAGGGGCGCTTCTTTGGGGCCAAAGCCACCGTGGTGGGGGGTCCCACTTCTTGCCTTTCTCTGAATCAGTCATTCGTGTGCTGGTTACGGGGGGGGGGGCCTTCCCCTCCCCCGCGTGTTTCAGTACTGTTTCGCCATTATCAAACAAGCTCCTAGGTGCGATTTTGGCTTGGGTCACTACTACCAAGACGAATTGGTAAACGACTCTAGTGTAACTGAACCAGGAATCCCCAAAGCCAGGTTGCAAAGCGGTTGTGCACAGCGTTGTGGAGCGCGATCTTTCCATCCCCAGCATCGACAACTGTGAAGAGCTCCCAGCTCTCAGGATCTGGAAGCGAGTCCTCTGCAAAGGGCAGAAAACTCTCTTGCCTTCTTTGTCTCTTTTTGCAAAACTGCTCCTGGTCGCCGTAGCCACCAATTGGGGGGGGGGGGGGGCCGCCAGGACCTCCAATGCCGCCGTAGCCAGAGCCGAAGCCAGGACCGGCCGTAGTGAAAAAGCCGTAGCCACCGCCGTAGCCAAGACCGTAAGAGCCGGAGCTGAAGCCAGTACCAGAGCCGTAGCCGCCGCCGTAGCCAGCAACAACCGGAGAGCCGAAGCCAGTACCAGTCGCAGTGGAAGAGCGGAAGCCAGTACGAGTCACAGTAGAAGAGCCGAAGCTAGTACCAGTCGCAGTAAAAGAGCCGTAGCCGCCGCCGTAGCCAGGACCGTCGCCAGCACCAACCGGAGAGCCGAAGCCAGTACCAGTCGCAGTGGAAGAGCCGTAGCCGCCGCCGTAGCCAGGACCGTCGCCAGCACCAACCGGAGAGCCGAAGCCAGTACCAGTCGCAGTGGAAGAGCCGTAGCCGCCGCCGTAGCCAGGACCGTCGCCAGCACCAACCGGAGAGCCGAAGCCAGTACCAGTCGCAGTGGAAGAGCCGTAGCCGCCGCCGTAGCCGAAGCCAGTACCAGTCGCAGTGGAAGGGCCGTCGCCGCCGCCGTCGCCGTCATCGCCGTCATCGCCTTGGCCGTAGCCGCCGTCGCCGTCGAAGCCGTTGCCGGCCTGGCCGTAGCCTCCTGGATAGTAGGGGCATCCCGGTCGTGTTTACCACAAGGCCATGTTCAGGAGTGTGTATTCGTGACGCTGTTGTCAAAAAGAAGCTCAACAACCTTCTTTAGCGAGCGCGACCGTGCCTTATTGCTTGTGTTTCTGCCCGGTTGTGCTTCTAAGTTCTCGTATTACCGGATGTCTGTCAAAATCCCTATAGTTGAACTCTTAATTTGGGTGATACCTGCCGCAGCCGATGGAGCGCTATCCATGTCCGCCTGAGCGAATCAAGTCGGAACATTGTGAGGTTTCACGACGGTGGGACATTCACTGTTCAGGGATTAGGATTGCCGATGAAACCACTGTCTGGTTGGCGGTCTGGAGCTGAGCATCTGCCACTGCCTCACTCTGCTCGTCTGCATCTGCGCCCGTGTCTCGCTCTGTCGTTCTTCTTCGTCTGCGTCTGCCTCTCTGTCTCAGCCGCTGTCTCACTTTCTCTCCCTCTCTCTCTCGCACTCTCGGTCTCCCAGTCATTCAAACGTGGACAGTTTAGATTGGTAAAGGTCATGATCGCGACTCCCGAGTGACTCCGAATCACAGCACGGCACACACACCCAAAACCTGCAGCCCAAACTGCAGCTTGTCAGTTTGAACATCTTGTCCCCGGCTCGCGTCCCACACTCCACAACCTCGAAGCCCGGCAACCCTAGGAAAAAACGGTTCCTGCAACTCATGGCAAGACCTGAACAAACCCTTAAAATCCGACTTTAAATAAGACCCAACCCTACTCCGAACCCCAGAAAAGAAACCTAAAGCTAACAACACAAGCAGTCGAGTCCACGGCCTGATCGTTCATGCGCAGGAAGCGGTTCCAGAATGTGCAGTACAAGGCTACTACGGAACCAGGCTCCAGGTAGGGCTTGACCTGACGGACTGCTGGAGGAAGCGTCTAAGGTAGTAGCCTCGGGGGTTTAGGGATATCCATGATCGGATTGCATTGGTTGTTTGGCTTGGTGAGTCGATACACTCGGTTTTTGTGATAACCGTGCAAAAGGTTTAACAGGTCCACAAGGGTCCAGGTGTTCAGTGTACAAGCACCGATGGCAGCATCTTGAAATTGCAAGCCTTAAAAGGCATCCGGCCCAGCAAGAAAAGCCCCTAACAAGTCCTAGAACACGTTGTGAAGCTCCGTTAAACAAACGTTTTCAGAGCCTGTAAACACAATGACTCCTGAAAAAGCAAAAGACGTGTAAATCAGACACTAAAGACATACAAAAAGCCCCTTCTGATTCTGTACATAAGGGACCTCCCCCCTGCCCCGCCCCGCGCCGCCCCTCCCCCCACCTGCACGACACGGAAGCGCTCAATGGCCGACGGCAGATCTGATGCATTCCTTACTTCCCGTGTGGGCATTTTCCCACCCGTCGCGTCGCGTGTCAACCAAAAGATGCATTCCTTACCGAGGCATCAGAACTAACCCCTTGCTTGGGACCTACTCGTTGCATTCCTTACTGGTGCTTACGGAGGCTGGAGGTAGGATAATGAGAACGAGTTAAAAAAGGAACTGCTATGGATGCATTAACCATGAAGGCATTATAAGAGGACTGTTCGAAAGATCCACTCCCCCAACTCCTCCTTAAGCACCAGTAAGAGTCCTTTCTTCGCTCACGCCCACGATCCCGTCATCCGACAAGGAGACGAAGCCTCGGTACTGATCTTGGCATCTAGGTTCTTTCAGGCTTTTTCTTGTAGCTTGTGGTTTAGGACTGGGGTTTGGGATTTTGTGGTTCGGAAACTTGGAGTTGCAGGTTACTGCCTAAAATCGCCAGCTGAAGGTTTAGACAGCTAGATTGGCAGCCAACCGGGAACTCTAGATGGGAGCCATGCTGAAGCTGTATCGCCGAGCTTCGGCTGAAGAGGTTCAGAACGTGTTGTTATCGTACCGGTTCTGGAGCAGAAGCTAGTAGTTCTTCTGCACGGTGGCTAACAATAAGTTTGATTATGATGCGGGATATCGCAAAATTCCGAGCAGCAGCCGAACAAACAAACGAAAAGAGCTGCCTGGACCTGCCAGCCAACGAGATCATGGTGCGACTCTTTAGGCTCAGGTCAGTGCTGCTGGCGCTGTCGAACAGCATACCCGAAAGTCCAACCATCACGATCTCTCAGAATATCGAACTGCCAAGACGCGGCTGTGGACACCGCTGTGCAAAGCGATGGAGCCATCCCCGGCATCGACCACAGTGAATCGCTCCCAAATCGCGTCTGAAGGAAGCTCATCGGCAGCCTCGAAGTCTCGTTGAGTGCTGGACGTTGGAGGCTTTCGGGTTCAGGGAGTTTAGGGCATGGGGTTTCGGAAGGAGGGTTCAGGGCTAGAGGCAGGGCAGGGTTGGGGTTTAGGTGGAGGGTTTGGGGTGCAGGATTTGAAGCTGAAGTCTCAACAAGGGATTCAAGTCTTGAGGATTGGTTGGAGAGGTGTTGAAATCTTCGAGGCGTTCTCTGGCTTTCCGGCTCTCGTCAAGCCGTTCCAGTTCAGCAACTCCTTAGCTTGATGTACACTTTGTGGTTGTCAAGCAAGTCAACCTCAGTCACAACCACAAGGCTTCCTCCCACGCGATGTAGTCCGCAGATTAAAAGTGATGAGTCTTCAGCTTTAGGTTTACTGTGCGAGAATTGAAGCACAGAGACCCGGAAGCCACTTGTGTCCATCCCCGTGCTGCTCATGAGCACGAAGCGGTTGTGGAAGGTGTTGTGCAGCGCGATCTTCCCGTTTCCGGCATCAACAACGGTGAAGCGTTCCCAAGTCCAGTCCTTCGCGTGGTGCTTGGATTGGCATGTCTCGTTTCAATGCCTATGCCACGGCCTACAAATGCGCCGTCAAAATGGGAGCTGAAAAGTAAAAGCTCGGGCTCGAAGCCGATCCAGTCCGTGGGAATTGAGGCATCGATTATCGACGTGTTCATGCGCAGGAAGCGACCTTACAAGGGAAATGTATTTCACAAGGGGTACCTTTCCGGCCAATCTCCCACATCCTTTCCTCGGAACGCCCTCTCCAGGCCAAGCCGCCGTGAGCCCAGCCTTGCAAGGCAATCGTGGCGCCGGGTCTCAGATGCACCTCAGCGTCTGGGGCTTTGGGGATTCGAGCTCCGGCTTTGACAATGCGGCTTACCAACTCCTGCACAAGTATGTTAACGATGCACATACACACACACACACACACACACACACACACACACACACACACACACACCTCACACCTTGGCACTCAAGACAACCCCCCAGCCCCGTCGCTGAGGTCGCCAACATTCAGGTGCAGAAAATAGCTGCCATCGAAAACATCTGATGGCCCCATGCCATTTTGCGCGGCTGCTGTCCGCATCCAAGCCTCCCGAGGATGTACTGAAGTGCGAATCGAATGGGCTTTCGAAACAAGAGACACGGTTGCACGACTGCTTCAGCAATAGCTCGGCAGCCTACCGATTTCAGAAGAGAGATGTCTCAGCAAGTAGCAAGTGCCACTACCCGACCCCGCCTGATTTTTGTCTACCCATCCGCAAGTATCGGTTTCAAAATCACAGCCCACGACATCGTAGTTCGGAAGACTCAAGGTCGTAGTGGCCATGGTTGTGGAGGTCTGGGAAATCGTCACGGACGATGTCGCGGAAACCGTCACAGTCACCGTTGAGGTCGTCAGGGTCTGGGTCTGCGTGGTCGTGGTCGCCAAAGAGCACTGGCAGAGTACCAGGATCTTCAGAGCTGCCCATTGCATTGCCTTGGTTCCAGCTCTGCACAGACTGCAGCATGCTGGGCTCACCGACGATCTGACCGGTGATCTGCCGAGATGCCTTCGAATGAACAATGGCACCAGCCAGCAGCTAGCAAACTCCCTCGAGGGCTGCGGCAAGCAAGTGCGAGCAACGAATCACGAGTCGACCAGGGGCAGGCACCAAGCTTCTTCACGACAGACTGCCGGTGACATACTTTTCCCGGCATGGCCCAGGGTGAACCGGTTGTGCCGTACATGCAGCGAAGGCAGGTATCGCTACAAACTGAGTTTTCAAAATATTCAGATGCAATTAGACAGTGACACCACTGCACCACCTCCTTCGAAGGCCGCGAGTCCAGCGAATAAACCTGTCGTGGTTGTCCCTCGGCAGAAGTTCACACGTCAATTCATATCGGACTAGGAGCGGCGGGCTTCCGACAACCAAGATGCTGAGGATGCTGAGCTACACTACTCCGGAACTGGGCCTTTCACACAGCCATAGAAGCACGGCGTCAGCCCACAGGTGGCTTCTGCCTCCGTCAGCTCCTGTGTCAGAGCTGTGCGAAACGGGCCACACCCGGTGCAAAGCCCGCCTGCAACAACCTCAGATTCACCGAACCAGCTCGACATCCAAACCGAAGCTCCGGTGGTTCGAACTGGAACTGGATGGATTGATTACCGTATGCGAAGGCAAAGGAGGAGGAGCTGGCCAATTCAATTCGTGTACAAGCTCTACGGCAAGCAGGAAGCCACCAAAACAAACAACCACGATCACGCAAATAGCTTAGTCACAGCTTGCTAAAGTCGACTGTCCTGCGGAAGCAGTTCACACACAACTGCAAACCACGTCAATGCCATCCGTGACGAAAGCGCCTTCATAAGCTAGCCTCAAGGCCTCACGTATGATTCAACAAATCATGCACTCAAGAGTGTCTGCTTCGTTTGGGGTGGCCTCGCACGTTTCGGCACGAAAGACACGACAAGCCTTGTCGACCCTGGTTTGCACGTAGATGCAGGAGGCACTTTTCGAATGAAGTTCATGGCTGCAAGCTGCTGGCTGTCATGAAAGTGACTCAAATCCAGTAGTGCAGACACACTTCACTTCCTGGCCTGGCCTCCAGCTCTGCTTAATGCCCTGGTTAATTCCGGATGCTTGAAGGTGGTGTCCTGAAATCGCCGGCCGATCGCCTCCCCCGTCTGGCGAATTAGAATCCAATCTCCGTCACACTCAGTGGTGAAACGGCGATCCCAGTGCATTTTCCGGTCTGTTTTGCTCACAAGCTGTACCTTCAAGCGCGGGCATCGGCCGCAAAGCCACAGCAACAAGTAGACGGCCAGTCGCCGGTTGCAGATGCTGTAGTAATATCCTTCGTGGAAGACGACATCCATCATTTCAACCTCCCGCTTCAGCATTCGTCGTTCTAGGATTGCATCAAACATCTCGCGCACCGAGCTTGTCTTCACAGAGTCCCTGGCTGGTCCCGGTGAGTCACTGGAGCTGTAGCCGGAGCTGTGGCCAAAACTACCGTTATCTTTAAAACCAGACTTGATGGAGTCTTGGGTGAAGTAGAGCTCACAGGGAGGAATGAAGAAAATACTTCCAGCCTCAAAACCGTAGAATCGATGCACCGCGCGCTCCGGCGCAGGCTCGAACACCTCGGGCTCAGCAGACTTCTGCTCCTCTGGCAGTTCTGGCGGGGCTTTCGCGGCATCACCTTCTTCCGGCACGTCCTCCTCTGTCTGTCCAGGCTCCGAGACAGGGGGAGGCTCGGGAATCGGAGTGAAAGACTCGCATCTCGGGATCTCTGCCTCGACCTCCTCAGCTCCGCTGCCCGGCTCAGGCTCTTCGGCCTCGTCGCCCTCATCGTCGCCCTTCGGCGCCGTCGTCGCCGTGCCCGCGGCAGAATGCGTTGGCTTGGAAGTCGAAGCGGAAGTCGCTTTCCAGCTTTTCAAGCACTGCGAAGCGCCCCAGCCAGTGTGTGCGGCCTGTCAAGCCCTGATGCCGATCCAGCTTCGCCTGCTTCTTGCTACGGCTTCTGAACACAGCATCTACGTACCGCTTCGCCACGTCCAGCAGCGCTGAATGCCTCTCACGCAAGAGCTCTTCTAGCTTCCTGGCTGAAATACGGCTGCCAGATCCCATGCTGACCTCCTCCTGCAGCAAGTCGCGCAGTCGAATGGAGTCCTCTGCTGGAAAGACCTTCTTCCAGTCCGGCTCCGTTGCTTTGGGCGCGGCTTTCACCTGGGCCTTCGCCTTTGGCTTTCGCTTCGCTTCACTCGTCTCTTTGCCGATGCCGGGCTTTGGCTCAGCTGCATCACTCCGAGAAGGCGGCTGCGCACCCTTTCCCCGTCCTTTCGCACTGCTGCTTGAAGCCGCATGCTCGTGCTCCCATGCCTCCCGCGCGTCCACAAACTGCAGGTGGCGGCGCTTCACCACCTTCTGCTCCTTGCACTCCCCGTCGAGCTCCACGACGAAGCGCGCCTCGTCGCCCTCCCGGCCCTCCCCATCCCCTTCTTTGCGGTCACCCTGCCTCTGCGCCCATTCAAGTCCCTGTTGTTGACCAGACCTCTCAGGGTGACCATGCTCCCCAGCAGCTCGCGATCGGGATCTTCTGCATCAGCAAAATCATACATGCGATTCCTCGCTGCGTGGCGCCCCTCCTCCAGGCGCCTGGCCTCTCCGATGTTTTCGAGACCTCGCTGCCGACGAAAGGCGGCCGATCTTGCGCTCGGACGCGAGGCTGCGCTTCCTTCCTCCTCTGACTCGGAGAGCGAGGAGTAGCCACCGATGTCTGCTGCCAGCTCGCCCCGGCCTGCTGTGTTGAGCATCATCTTCGCATAAGCGCTCATCTCGCCTTTCTTCTCGATGTTCAACTCCAGCTTCTGGGACTTGAGAGCCACTTCCGTGCCATCGCCGATCACGACTTGGAAGCGGATCTCGCCGCCATTGCTTCCAGGCACCACTTTCCGCAGTGTGCCTAAGGCACCATTCAGGTCCACTGGTCGACAATAGTTTGGAGGAATCGGCTGCACACCGCGCAGAGATTTCACCACTACCGTCGAGCCTGGAGGAACGTGCTGGTCCAAGTGCGAGACATGTGGAAGCCCGAAGTTGTCTCCGACCAGGTCCAACGACTCGACCAGTTCACGCCAAAGTTGGATGCCGCCGACATCTGCGAAAAGCAGCTCCACGTTGTCCAAGAAGGTGCGCCGAGCAGGCGAGCTCTCGCGGCTCTCCACGGATCCTGCGACGCCGGCCTCGAAGAAGCGCTCGACAGATTCCCAGAGGCGGCAGACGTCCGGCGGGTATCGGTGCGCCGCATTGTACTCGTGGGGTTGTGGGTGAAACCAGCGGCCTGTGTCAGGCCCTCCGGGTGAGGCCGCATCCTTCTCGTGCATCTGCTGGATGGTGGTGCCGTAGATGCTTTCTGCGAAGCGTCTTAAAGAAGGCCTGTCAGCAGTCATCGCGTTCTCATCGCCGTACTTGAACTTGGCGTGGTCCTTTTGGAATCGCTTTGGGAGCAGCTTCCTTGCGAGCGAAAGCAGCCTTTCAAAGTCGAACACCGGCGGATACTTCTCACGTTGCTCGACAAGCTTGCAGTAAACGAAAGAATCCTGTGCAACTGACAATGCTGTAGGGAAGGCAGTCACAGCATCCGTCTCTCGCTCAACAACAAACTGGACGCCGTTCACGGCCATATGCTCCAAATCGGACAATGCCTTCTTCGAAACCACTCCTGTTTCGTCCAACGGGTGCTCTCGACACGGGTCATCTGCTCGTAGATGCCGCGGCGGATGCCGCCTCGCCACTGTAAATCGTCATGACACCGCATCCGATAGGCATCGATCAGCCAAATGTAAAGCTCATCATTGTGAGTGGGCTCCCGTGCTGGAGGCTCAGTGGACTCCCGGCCTCCCACCTCGGAGGACGCACTGGCACGCTGCTTGGCCTTGCGGCGCTCATTGCGCTCTCTTTGTGACTTCCCCTTTGAGCTAGGCAGTGCCTTCTTCTCTTCTGAAAACCACTCGAGATTCTTCCCGTGAACATCTGCGAACTCATCTAGGAAGTAATCTGGCCAGTCAGCGATCCCATCTGTAGATCTTTGCTTGCGCCCACGTATGCTGCCACTTGGACCTTTTGGCCCTCCGCCCATTGACATTGTCATCGACACCAAATCCGGCCGCCCTGCGGGCGCAGCCTTCATCTTGACAAGCTGGTCAAAGGCACCGTTGAGCCCAGCGGCGGGATCTGGCAAAGGGCCTTTTATCTTCCGCGCAATGGCGCGTACATGGGCGGCGTCCTGGAACGGATCCAGTGGGAAGCCCTGGCGCTCCAGGCGCCACAGCAGCTGTGGCCCTGTGTCGCGTGGATGCTCACCGATGAGCGACCGCAGGTGATCCTCCAGCGCTCCGCGGCTGACGCCAGACATGGCTCTCTAGAAGATGGCTACCAGTCAACTATAGTCAGTGACTAGTCTCAGCAGCATGGTGCTGGATTCGCTGGCGGCGTTGGCCATCTATGATGTCTGTAGCTTCCCCGTCCGAGGACATGTCTTTGGTCCAGCTTTCGGAATCTAAACTGTGGTGGCTCCAAGCAAAAGGAGACGACCGAGCTTTGCAAAAACGTCCTTACAAGTAGCTGCAGAATCCGCGCTTCGCGGGAGGCGCCTGGTGGGAGGAGTCGCTCTCGGACAGGAAGTCAGGCGCCTGAGCAAGGGGAAATCAAATGCAGGTCGGGGTCCAGGCTTTAGGCACTTTAGGCTTGAGATCTGCGAAGAAGGCTGGGGTTGAAAACTTCCTAAACCAACTGCAACATGCTGAGGGCCTCAGCCAAGCATGGACCATGCACTTACACAAAACGAAAGGCCTAAAACCCCAGACACAAAACCCGGCCTAGCTTCGGAAGCAATGTGACCCGCCGGCGCACGACATGGGCCGCTGGCTCCAACGCTTCGCTGAAGGCGCGTTAACAGCTTTAGGCCTTAATTAGGCGCTTGTTCCGG